ATGTATTTTACAATATGTTGTGCTATTAATGCTCAATGAGAGAGGTTATTACCCAATTACAACAAAGTGGGCCATTGTCAAGGCCCTTTGACCTTAAGTTCATGGGGCTTTTTCATTTCTTAATATGAAAAGTAGTGCTTTTAGCTCATATACTTGAGAAACCCTGATGTAGATATCTTATCTAAATCAGGGTTATTGTCAGAATGTTCTAACAAGATATTCAGACTTGTAAGAAACAGACAGTTTCCATCACAACTGTGTAGTGAAGATAATTTGATGAAGACATGAGAATGCCTAGTTTATCTTATTATGATAACAAAGTTATGATATATCAGCCTGGTATTGTGAGAAAGGCCAAGAATTTTGAACCTAAATTAGCATGAAATCTTCTGAGATTATACGCAGGCTGAAAATATACCTTATCACATCATCTTTGACCACAACACAACTGTTGCCTTGAACAAATCAATACTACTATCTTTCTGAGTATATTTAGCTGTTGTAACTCATGTAATATCAAGATGTATGTTGTTGAGATGTTCTTTCAATAAATGGTATATAAAAACTAATTATAGGACACATGCCAATAGGTTGTGCTTTTGAATTTTTATGCTTCTTGATGCCAACACCCAGTTGTATATCTTCTGATTTTGGGGGTTATTTTAATACTAGTTAGTTTTATATTTAAATGTGTTTTTAAAATCAAAGTGAAACATCAGACAGAACTGACTTGATCAATCAAATTTGATAAAGACTGCTGCCTTGTCATTGCTCTCTATGTCAAGGTTAAGAAATATCCCACTGGTCTGGCATGCAGTTCTCTTTTAATTTGACTGTCCAGCCGCTTTTGACATGTCTGCTAAAATTGTATTCTGTGAACTGCAGGTTTCATGATCATAAATTGAAAGAAATAAGGAAATAAATAAGGCTGTCACTCAAATGATGTAATGCTTATTTTAATCAATCGCATGGCTTGTTTTTGTCCCTCTGTACTCTGAAGAGTTCGAGGCAAAAATCATCTCCAAATGAAAAATGATTATTTTTAATGAAAGATTACACAATTCTATTTAGAAATGTATTTTCATCAGGAAAATAGAATCATGTTGCATGTCTTTGATGCTTTGACCATTTATAACCTCCATCTTGGTTTTTTCTTCGATTCTAGTGTGTTTTATTGTCCTGGTTTAACTTTGAAGTGGGAACTGAACAAGAAAATGAAATAATGAAGGAGAAAATAAAATGGAAGCTGTGGACCTTCAATTCAATATTTCTTTTTATGTTTTATAGATCTGGAGGATTTCATGTTGATATATATTACAATTGCTTGAAATTACCTTCACGTTTCAGAAAAGTTATCTGTTTTAAATTTCTCTTTATGTTCAGATGAACTGACATAAAACTAAATATATTCTTAGTCATACCTTGAATGACTTTTCAAAGCAAATTTATGCAGGTAAATAATTGTTAGAATCAAGAAAAATATATCCGAAATCGCAAAATATCAGTATTTATAGCAATATATTGTTTATACATTTATTGTAAATATTTGTAAAAAATCTTATATTTTTCATGACATAAAATACCTATATATTACATGTATGGAATTGAATTTATTGATGATAGAGCACCTTACTGCAAAGGCATCCATCTTCAATTTGCCAAGTGGTTATTTTGAGATGAATGCCTAGAAAACATTAGGAACTAAATTGAATGAAAAATTAGCTCAATGCAGGGACATGCAGATTATGGCTGCATATTAATTTTGCAGACTACAAGTCTGTGACATGCATTGGGCTTAAGATAATGAATAAATATCCATCTTGTGCTTGATCTCACCCATTGAATTGAGAAACCTATTATGATTTTATACCAGTCCTAGGTTGTAATGTGTTGATTTTATTCTTACATCAATAATGATTTCTTTGTCTGCATGGTTGCCTCTCCCAGACTAATGGACCCACATTTGGATGTTTATGATGTGATTAACATTATACAGTGTAAAATCTAGATAGATTTTTCTGTGGTAGAAAATAAGATAGAGGATTTATTACCCACTGAAAATGTGACAACATCTATTAATTGTTAACTGAGAATAAAGCTCTGGCTCATCAAATAATTTTTATGCATTTATATTTTCATAATGTACAGCACTTCACTAATTAAATCTCTATAACACCTCATTATTTATCACACAGGAAATGTGTCTTCAAAGCTTAAATAAGTTCTATATTTAATATTTTGTTGAATGGTCAATAAAACAACTCTTATAAAACTTATATAATATTTTTTTTCATGAAGGTGGGAAAGGGACTTTTGTGTGTCAAGGAAGATGAAACCTTAAATTTATGTGAAACTGGGAAACCTGGTTTAGAAACATGGGGCCCTCACATCGTAGCAATCCCCATTTGAGTATGGTTGCGAAAAATAGCATCTCTCATGCAAACTTAGTTGTGAGCTGCGTTTTGGTACTTATGACCATTTTCATTATTCGCCACCATATGCCACTGGTAATCACTGTGATGTGAGGGCACCTTAGGCATATATATGCTTTTAGTTTGAATATTACCAACTGAAGATTTATCAAGGATGGGTATTGTAAAATATTTATCAAATATCTTCTGTAATCAAATATCTTCTGTATCTTTCCAGAACAATGTGGTAATCCACTGGGCATGCAGTCTGGTGAAGTTAAAGATGAACAGCTTACAGCAAGTTCCTCATACAACAAAGCAGAAGTTGGACCAGAAAATGCAAGGTAAGACTAATTTCAGGAAACATAGTAAGGTACTTCTCTTTAGAGGAGTCCACTATCAATTACTCTCAATTTGCCATGCTTTGGATGATATTTTGATTATGGGAATTGTCTTCCTTGTACAGATTTTTATGCTGAAAATGCAATTAATAACTTCAAAGATGAAAAACAAAGTTTAAGCAACTTCATACTTTTAAGGTTTTGCATTCAGTATTACCAATTTACAAATTTTGAAATAATTCTTGAAAGCTGAGTGTATTGCTTTGTTGGCAATTTATTAACAATTTTGTATTTCTCAGAGCAGCAATAATGAACACAAGTCACAAAAAATTTCAAAAGTAATAATCCACATACAGTAAAAATATCAACATCTATTGAAAATTTAACATCCAATACAAAAAGAGAAACAAACTCCTATCTTCATGACGTCATAAAAGGGGCACTGGTTGGTGAGTTCTGCATGTTCAAGATCCATTGAATAAAATGGATGTTCATAAAACAAGTTGAAACTCACCAAGTGAGAGTCATCCTTGATCAAAGACTAGTGTTTTGTGGCTTTTTCAATTTGATGTGGAATTACCCTTGATCCCTTTCTTTTTTCTCACTGTGAAGTCAGTATTAATGATGCTCGTATCTTTCGAATTAGATTATTTGATTTCACCTAATTATTAGCTATATCTTGAACTTCACCAATCATACACCATCTGTTGAAAACAATAGATAAAGTTGGCACATTCTTTAAAGCTCTTATAATTAAAATAGGTCAGATCTGTTTATCTCTTTTGGGTGTTACATAAATAAACACAAACCAACAATATACCATTATTTGGTACATTCAACATGTACTAGATTACCTGTGTAAATTTAGGTGGTGGAGTTCTTTTCTGAAAATATAGAGGTAATCTTTCAAAGTTTGAAAATGGCTGATCCCACATACGCCACTTGAATAAGAACTTCCAAACCAGCTACAAGTGCATTGTTGCTAATAGCCCAACAGATCTTACTCTACCATTTCTCAGATGTGATATCTTCATAGTTACTCAAAAGGTCACATTTTATGGTAGTTGCTCTGATTCTTAAATCGCTAGGTTATGTGGATTTTTTGGCAGATATTTTTATACCAATATAAAGCTGAATCATTAATTAATCCAACAAAACATTTATGGGTATTCTGCAATGTCCCTGTGCCTCACCCGGTACCACAATATAATTGATAGGTAGGTTTATTTTAAAAAGTTGAACAAAGAACAGTAAAGAATTTGTCAGATTTGTCAGACTGGCTCGCTATATAACATGAACTCCAAGTAATATAACTTAAAGAGTATGACATTTACATCATGTGACGTCACTCGGTAACAACGACTGCTTAAATATATATTGCGTAATTATGTTGCTAGGGTTGAAAGGGTTAAAACACACACATCACATATTATCAGTACTCTCTAAGAAAAGGTTCAAATTGTCATACTTGCTAAAGAATATTGATAAAAAAAAACACCTTCCCAAGAAAGCTGGAATTGGCGTTCCTTACATCTTAAGTTTTGAAGCATATGGTTGTGATTCATTAGTGATTTCTTTAATAAAGAGTCAATCTTTTTGAGTGGCTTTTTTACATAGATAGTTCGTTAAAATTAAAAAGCAATTTTGACACATGAAAACAATTTTGACAGATAAAAGCCAATTGTGGATTTCTTGGTCATATTTCACCAGTTGTCATGGTTACTAGGACTTCCTCAAGGCTGACAGTCCACAAGTGACTTCTTAAGCTGTACTTGAATAATATTAGCCTTAAGTAAGATTTTTCAAACAAAAGAAGGTAAATCATTTTGTCACCTTGTTCAGTTATTTCTTTCAGTTAAGTTTTAAATGCTTGAGAATGATGAAAGTAAGAAAAAAGAAAAAAATCATTGTATTCTATCCAATAAAAGAGTTATCATTAAAAAAAATTAGAAATCTGTTGAGGGTGGAAAATTTGTGAATTATGATTTTTTCACTAAAAGAACATCACACCACATCTTGCTCTCACGTCTTGCTCTCTTAACAACAGAAGAAAAAATCCACACCACACCACATCTTGCTCTCATAACAACAGAAGAAAAACTCCACAGCGCACCTTGCTCTCATAGCAGAAGAAGAAAAAACTCCAACCCACACCTTGCTCTCATAACACAAGAAGAAAAACTCCACACCATCCCACATCTTGCTCTCGTAACAACAGAAGAAAAACTCCACACCACACCTTGCTCTCATAACAACAGAAGAAAAACTCTTGACCATCCCACATCTTGCTCTCATAACAACAGAAGAAAAACTCCACACCACATCTTGCTCTCATAACAACAGAAGAAAAACTCCACACCATCCCACATCTTGCTTTCATAACAACAGAAGAAAAACTCCACACCACACCACACCTTGCTCTCATAACAACAGAAGAAAAACTCCCCAGCATCCCACATCTTGCTCTCATAACAACAGAAGAAAAACTCCACACCATCCCACATCTTGCTCTCATAACAACAGAAGAAAAACTCCACACCACACCACACCTTGCTCTCATAACAACAGAAAAAAAACTCAACAGCATCCCACATCTTGCTCTCATAACAACAGAAGAAAAACTCCACACCATCCCACATCTTGCTCTCATAACAACAGAAGAAAAACTCCACACCACACCACACCTTACTCTCATAACCACAGAAAAAAAAACCCACACCTTGCTCTCATAACAACAGAAGAAAAACTCCACACCACACCTTGCTCTCATAACAACAGAAGAAAAACTCCACACCATCCCACATCTTGCTCTCATAACAACAGAAGAAAAACTCCACACCACACCACACCTTGCTCTCATAACAGAAGAAAAACTCCACACCACACCACACCTTACTCTCATAACCACAGAAAAAAAAACCCACACCTTGCTCTCATAACAACAGAAGAAAAACTCCACACCACACCACATCTTGCTCTCATAACAACAGAAGAAAAACTCCACACCACACCTTGCTCTCATAACAACAGAAGAAAAACTCCACACCACATCTTGCTCTCATAACAACAGAAGAAAAACAGAATTAGAAATATAATCAGTTTAGAGCCTTAATTTACACCACTTGTGTTTACAATTGTAGAAACCATTTATTTCATTTGTGAAATGTACTCCATTAAATTATGATGGTAAATAAGTTTTAAAATAAATATTCTATTATTTTCTTAAAAGGAAGAAGGATTTCTAACACATTTGCTGACCAACCATTTTTCTTTTTCATTCTTTGTTTCATAAATGAGGCAGTGTTTTGTAAATAAACATTTTGTTTCCTACTTTTTCACTAACAAGATTCTTTTTAGATTCCAAATCTTATTTCTATCTCCCATTGTTCTATAAATTTACCAGAATATTCAGAATATTTCTCAAGGTCATAAAGGTCAATAAAAATCCCATCAGACAATTCCATCAGTCAATCAAAAATCTTGCCCAAAGAATGGCAAAATATGGAGTAAAGCTTCGTGTGTTTTGCTTAACATCACAGTTAAAGGATAGTTAATTGTCATGCAAATTTTGTAAATACTATTTTTAAAGTAAAATTTGTAATATAGAAAATAATAAAACTGATGAATTAGCAATGGGCCAATAAACAGCCACAGTTTTTTTCATTCAGAATTCCATGCAAATTATTTCTGTATAAATCATGTAAAGTAAATTTGGTAAAGACTTTTAGATTATTGTCTTAAGAGTTATTGGCACTAAAAGAATGTCAGGAAACATAGGTCTGAAAAATGCAATAACAAACAGGATGAGTCATATCCTTGTAAAATTTGTTCTTTAGACATTGTTTATGAAATATAGGACATAACATTCTATGATATTGCTAGATACCATTGTCTACATGCCTTTTATTCTATATGGATCTAAACTTTGTCATCACTGTCATTTCCTTCTGCATGCTCCTTTGTCAGTGACAATAGTTTTCTAAATGAAAAATTTTGTTGTCTGAAAGACATCTTTGATTTAGAAATGAAATGAATGGAGTTTTACATCCTACTCTTCTGGTATTATCTTGACTTATGCTAGTTTTGAATACTGGAACATTCAGGTTAGTGAGCAAGCATCCAACTCCTATGATAAAGAAGAACAGTGTCAAGCTCTCCAAAAATAAATTCAATATAAAAGATGGCCCAGAATTGTCTAACTGATCTCTATTTGATTGTTGTTTATGGAAACAGCATGATGTTGCCATGTTCATGTCATTTTGAATTTCTCATCAGATTTCTGGAACCATATATGTTAATGAAATCTGAGGAATGGTTCTTCAAATTCCTGCTACAGAATTAACTGGCTGGAATGACAGGAAACAAAAATATCCTTGTGAATGATCCCCTCTCAGCTTGTTTCTGTATCAAAATTCCTTAGATTATAACTCCATGGAGGTTGGAATGTTGTGATTAGCATTCTTTTATGCCTTGGTGCACTTAATGTACCTTGTCAAATATGATCATCAGTTTGTGGGAGTTTTCAGTTTCTGAGGACAGATTTTCTGGGTTGATAAGAACTGAACTGGAAATTTCTAATACTTAGTTGACAGTTTTAGATTGAGATCTAGATCTCGCCACTGATTGTGAATTCTTTTGGAATAATATTGAAATGCTTGAGATATTTTGAGTCAATGGCTTTGTATTTTGGTTTCAAGTTCAGTTCTATTCTAGTTGTTAAGACTTAAAAGTATTATGCTTCTTTAGTGAACAATACTAGCCCGATACAAATTCAGAAAAAGTAAGCCCAAAAAAATGAAATGAACTTATTGTTCAAAATCACAGAGTCTCAGTCTTAATCTCAATAGTTTAATAATTCCAGGCGTTTTTAGAATAAAATTTTTCTTGATCTCTTTTAAGACTTGCAAATAATAAGACCTGATTTCTCTATAGCAACAGGCAAAATACAAAGAAAACATGACAGAGATAAAAGTTTGTCTTATTTAAGACTTCAATATTCTCATCCAAGTTCTGACTTGAATTTCAAAAGATTTTAAAATTGATCCCATTCTTTATAAAATTGTGTTCTGCAAACTATTTATCCTGAACTCCAGAATTCGGCTAACTTTAGAATGTTTTATTGGTCATATTACTGAAAAGAGTAATGGTGAATAATTTGACAAAAATATGTATTATTCACTAAATGATAATGTGATTAATTAACAGGTATATTTTCTGTTCTTTTGCTCAATTCTGTTTGAAGTTTGAAAAGTGGTAGGAATGGGAAGTTTCTTGGAAGCAATTGTGCTTTAATAATTTGGGCATTTTTCCCATATCAGGTATTACATCAAAATCAGATTATCATGTCACTACGCAAAAGAAGTTTTTCTGGAATAACAGAAACCACCAACATCTGAAATTGGAATGGCATATAAAACGGGCCACCAGTTTTTCAGCAGATTAGAACATTTTAGTGATTATTTGACTTCTTTGATGAAAATTTATTTCTTTAAAAGTAGCAAACAAGGGCTTTAAATGTTTAGTTAAGTGGGTTAAGCCATTATAGCCTAAAAAGATGATGGAGCTTTTCTCTATTATAGGTAGATATACATACTGTTTTATAATGGTACACCAATCACACCTCTTTTGATGGAGATCAGACAAAAACTGTTTTCAATCAAGGCATGAGGTGGAAAAATAATTACCCTGTTTACTATTGAAAATCAAAGTTCAAGATGTCTTGTTGATTTTCATACGCCCACATGAAAGGGGGGGGGCGTATATTGCCGTCACCCATGTCTGTCGGTCCGTCCACAATTGCTTGTAAACACTCTACAAGGCACAATTCTTGACTGATTTTGACGAAACTTGGCATGGTTGTTTGTAATCACCCAAAAATGAACCCTAATGAATATCAGAAAAATCGAAAAATATTTAGTATGAGTTATTGTCCTTGGTTTTGAAACGCTCATGAACACTCTAGAAGGTGCAATTCATGACGGATTTTGATGAAACTTGGTGTGAGTGTTGGTTATCACCCAAGGACGAATCCTATTTAAAATCAGAGAGATCGAAAAATAATAGGTATGAGTTATTGCCCTTGTTCTTGAAAACACGTTCAATTTAGCTAGTAAACACTCTAGAAGGCACAATTCTTGATGGATTTTGACGAAACTTGGTGTGAGTGTTTGTAATCACCCAAGGATAAACCCTATCGAAAATCAGAAAAATTGGAAATGTTTAGTATTAGTTATTGCCCTTGTTCTTGAAAACGCGTTCAAATTTTTAGTTCATAAACACTCTAGAAGGCATTATTCTTGACGGATTTTGACGAAACTTGGCATGAGTGTTTATTATCACCCATGGATAAAGCCTATTGAAAATCAGAAAAATCGAAAAATATTTAGTATGAGTTATTGCCCTTGTTCTTGAAAACTCTTTTAATTTGTAGCTCGTAAAAACTCTAGAAGGTATGATTCATGCCGGATTTTGACAAAACTTGGTTTTATTATTCAGTACTGCACTGAATATTGAGTATTTGTCTTCTAGAGTTTTCACGAGCTAAAGATTGAACACGTTTTCAAGAACAAGGGCAATAACTCGTACTCAATATTATTCAGTATCGCCCTAAAGAGTTCAAAAGAAGTGTATGACTGAAGGTTGAATATTTCATACTGGTGATTGTTTCTGTACTGCTAAATATTTTTATTCAGAATCAAAGCTGCCAGTGGGCGTATATTACCTTGCCTGGCAAGCTATCTTAACTATTGGATTGATTAACTCTAAGTTCACAGATTTGAAAGTGATAATTGTCAGCTGAAAAATGATTAATATGTTTTAGTGTACTGATGTACTCAACTGACATGGTCTGTTGAAGGGACAGCTTCGCCTTTTTCGGGAGTTGAATTGGGTCTTAGGTACTAGAAATGTACAAAAATAACATAATTTCTTTTAAAAAAAACTCAAACTAGGAATTTCACTTTCTATTTCTATGTGTCTTTTCTATATATAGCAATGTCTCAAGAAATGATGAGTGGTCATTTAACATTCAAACACAGTTCTAGTCGTCAGTTTCCTTCTTGACACCCATGCATGGAGTTGAAGGCTCAAAATGAGCTGTGATACTTTTATTGACTAGCTTAGCTAAAAATGTGGATACTATCAAGTACAATTGGACAAGAACTTTGTGGTTTTGACGTTTATTAATCTTACTAAACAACCACCCATGAGCTTTATTGAAATTTGATGAATGGAGAGGCACAGCATAGTTGTGAACCTTTCTTAATGACTTTGGTCATCCCTGATAGACTAGAAAACCAATGTGATAGCACCCAAAGGTGTCAATCAAGTCAAATATTTCTAAATAGCAAAACGATAGTTTTCTTTGATGTCTGAAACCTAAGTGTACACCTTGTTTCGATTACATACATGTTATCAGTTTTGGAATTTGCAGGTGTTGAATAATAATAGCCTGTTTAGAAAGTTAGATTTGACTGTGAGATTATAATTTTTATGCTACAAAGTTTGTGAATTTGTATTTGCAGTATATTTTGTCAATTAAGGTCCATTTTAAGACAAACATCTAAGTGCATTGTTCATGACATTTGGTTGCCACATTGGATCAATTTACCAAGAATCTTGGGAAACATTTGACCCCCTCGTTTATTCATTAAATGACTTTGTCTGTGAATCAATTCCTTGTGGAATATAAAGGCAAATTGAGGTACATGTACTAAATGTTTGCTTTTAAACTGGATCTCAGCAAACTTTTCAATTTTTGTAAAAAGAACAATAAAACCGAAAACTTGAAATGGAAGCCTTAGTTTAACAAAGTCTCAGAAATGTGAATTTTTTTTAGCTACACCATCCAATAGTGTTCACAGCCATACATGTGTACAGGTCAGGAAAAAAAATCTGGAGATTTGCCTTGAA